TCACCCGCGCGGGCGGCAGCGGGATGACGGTGACAACCGGCGGTACGATGGTAACAACCGGCGGCGGCGCGACCATCTTCCCTCAACCATCTTGGAAACCGGTGGACCTTCACGGGAACGAGATCCTAGGCCGAGGTCAAGCTCTTCACGCCCCGGTGAAGTTGGGAGCGGCTCCCGACGGCAAACGTTTCGGTTGTTTGTGCGGTAAACGGTTTGCCGTCAAACCCAAACGGGATCGGCACATCATGTTGACCTTCAGCTTGCGTCCCTTCACCTGCGCCGCCTGTCACAAGCGCTTCAAGTTGAAGCACCACTTGACGGAGCACATGAAGACCCACGACGGAGCCGGGCAAGCTTGCGAGGGTTGCGGGCGACGGTTCCGCCTGCAGAGCGGTTTGGCCAAGCATCGGCCGCTCTGTCAGGGGGTGCGGTGGGGAGGGGGGTGCTGGGCCTCCCAGTTCAGGCTCTAGGCCCAGCTCAGGGCTCTAGGCGCAGCTCAGACTCCGGCCCAGTTCAGGCTCTAGGCCCAGCTCAGGGCTCTAGGCGCAGCTCAGACTCCGGCCCAGTTCAGGCTCTAGGCCCAGCTCAGGGCTCTGGGCCCAGCTCAAGGCTCTAGGCCCAATTCAAGGCCTGGCCCTGTTAAAGCTCTAGGCCCAGTTCAGGGCTCTGGGCCCAGTTTAGAGCTCTAGGCCCACTTTAAGGCTCTAGGCCCAGCTCAGGGCTCTGGGCCCAGCTCAAGGCTCTAGGCCCAATTCAAGGCCTGGCCCTGTTAAAGCTCTAGGCCCAGTTCAGGGCTCTGGGCCCAGTTTAGAGCTCTAGGCCCACTTTAAGGCTCTAGGCCCAGCTCAGGGCTCTGGGCCCAGCTCAAGGCTCTAGGCCCAATTCAAGGCCTGGCCCTGTTAAAGCTCTAGGCCCAGTTCAGGGCTCTGGGCCCAGTTTAGAGCTCTAGGCCCACTTTAAGGCTCTAGGCCCAGCTCAGGGCTCTGGGCCCAGCTCAAGGCTCTAGGCCCAATTCAAGGCCTGGCCCTGTTAAAGCTCTAGGCCCAGTTCAGGGCTCTGGGCCCAGTTTAGAGCTCTAGGCCCAGTTTAAGGCTCTAGGGCCCACTTTAGAGCTCTAGGCCCATTTTAAGGCTCTAGGCCCAGTTCAGGACTCTTGGCCCAGCTCACCTCCCAGCCCAGCTTAGGCTCTAGGCTGAGCTCAGGGCTCTAGGCCCAATTCAAGGCCTGGCCCTGTT